CAAAGGAGAAAGCTGTAAGTATTATGGAGTTTTGCAAACGCGCTCATTATTGTGCATTTTGATTTTCAGCTGAAAGCCGAGTACTTTTCGCTGCTGTCATCGCCCTTTCTTCTATTGTTTTTTTCTCTCTTATTGTGAACGGTACCCTAATATGGCGGTTAAGACGAGCCGAGCCTAACAATAGAACAAACCATAGTAAACAGTGGTATCCCTGTGCCATCTGGTGTTCATCAAGCATCAGAAACTGGTGTTTATATGGAGCTGCAACCCAGGCCTTCTGACGGGTAGCCACGTGAACCACCTGAATACCAGTCACTGGACGACAGACGGGTGACCCAAGATTACTACAATATGGGAGTTTCGGAAGAAAGCTTGGACGAGAAGGGAGAAATTTATGAAAATGTGGAGTGAAATGGGAGTGTCCTCCAATTGAAAAAAGGTGTGGATCATCGATATAGCCCTTCAGATCAATAGGACCCGTGGTTTTGATTAAGTGATATTATCGTTATCAACTCAGTTGATAACGTAAAATTACCCTGATATTACATCTAGTTGGTTGCAGTATTATATTGTTGTTACATCACTACACGCGTTGTTTTTTTTTCTCAGTTTGAAATGAAAATGATATCCTTTGATGCCACAAATACAATACTAACTGAATCAGCAGGAGTTATATAATTTTCCTAAAAGTATGTCCTGTTAATGTCATTTATAATAGAAAGCTGTTCTAGTTGAGGTAAGCCACAGTAAAATTTTAGCACTTCATCGCTTCTATGCCGACCAACGCAGATTATATTTTCAAATTTTTATTTAAATGATTATTACAGGTTTTCAAAGTAATTTTCGGTGGAATTGTAAGGTATATTTAAATGTTGTTCGACGCTCGATAAATTATCGTCTTTGTAGCAAGTCATTAAAAACAGCGAACACAGGCCGCGAGACAGTTACGTGCGGGACGTGCGAGGGCAAAAGCAAATGGCTTCGCTCCCTTCCCGCGGGTGTAGGCACGTGTGAATCGCGCACCTTGTTAGCCTAAGAAACGCAAACAAATAAGGATTGATTCATTGCGATTTCAAGCTGTAACTGAGCGTTAAACTTGAAAAGGATAGTCTTAAATTAATGGTTGCTCTCAAGAAGGTCAGTTTTTGCATAAGAAGCGAAGGTTTTGTTCAGAAGAGAGGGAAAGCCACGCTTCTACGAGGTAGACATGAAATGAGTGAAAGCGGCGAGCCTAAAGTTCAGTCAACGATGATATAATTAGTTAATTTTGGCAACAAAATCTCAGTTCATTGACTTATTTGTATTTTATTTAAACTTACCCTTAGTTAGATTCTCCACCAGGTAGTTTCAATGGCTTCAAAACCCACAAGAATGAGAACGAATTTTTCGTCAGAATGATTCATGGCGTGTTCATGCCTCAAGGGACTGTTTGGACTGAATGTTCATAATTAACTTGAATATGTATTAGCATCAGGTAAATGAATACAATAAACCTAAATTTATTAATTTGTTTTGTCACCTTCCCTTACATACTTTGGAAAGGATTTTTTTATAAAAATAGATTGCAATCGATTAATAAGAAAAAAGATTATTTACAACCCCGACTGAGATGAGCGTTTAACATTATTACATTTGAAATGTTAACGTGACTGTGGGAATTTTCCAATGAAATTCTTTTTTAACATAAAGGATATGAATCACAAGAACTTTGCAATATTGCAAAAACATATTGCAGCCACAGAAAACGTGGAACAATATAGAAAAAAGGCTGGTTATATTATCCAATTCTCGTATGTGTCATTACTGTAGTTTTTCATTTACTCACTGAGAATTTGAAAAAAGACCGCGCTCATGTCTTAAGCCAAGATAGCGCTTGCACTGCGAGAACGCAGATGCTGAGTGAGCGTTGGTGGATACGTCTTAACCTTTATGCACGTTTTCTGGCCCAGACCTCCTTCTTCTTGTGACACATTTTCGTGATGTTTTTTGTCCATTTCCATCGGAATAATTTTATAAGTAACTGTCCCACTTTTTATGATTCCTTGATTGATATAGAAGGAACTTGATAAGCGCAAAATCGAAGGGCCAGGGAAGGTATGGTCAAATACAGGTGAAATACATAGTATGTCATGCAGCACATTAGAGCTGCGCTACCTTTCCCCCTTAGAAAAATATCAGCTTGACAAAAATAGCCCCCTAACTTTTTCTGAAGGATGATTTTGTCTGTTACGTTCACTGTTCTAAACATTCCAATTTTATTGCCTGTATGATAATCACCATTTAAGGAAAGTGGCCTATAATATATAAACTATGCTGTTTTAAAGGTGTCACCAATGTACGCAGTCAATGAGCTTTATTTTACCATAGAACTCCAACAATTAAGTCCTGATCGACAGTAACAGATTGAAGCTGTACAGATGCCAGGTAAAATGAAAAGCAATAAGCATGTGTACCAAGTATATTTATGCAAAACACTTCAAACGATCTAAGCTGTGAAAATGTTCATCATAATAAGAATGTAGTCTAAGAGGATATACTTTAATAAGGTTTGACAAAATTATTTATGGACGATTTCCAACATCACCATATAACGTCAGATAGACCAGCGCGCAGTTCATCGAAGGCCGATCAGCGCTTACTCAAGGTTGAATTTTAATCTGGGTTTTTTTATCCTTCAATTCAAAGGCCATCCTCCGATAATTTTCTCTAACCTCTTTAGAGCATGCAACTATCAAATTTTAGACAAAATGAATTAAACTTAAATTTCTTTTCAAGCTTTCAGAACTGATATTAGATTTCACAATAACTCTAGGTTATTTTAACCCAGCTTTGAACAATTGGAACTGGGAAGATTAAGATATGATATTTCCTTGGCATGCAGTCTGTTTTGCGAAACAAAGCTTCGCGCAAGACCTGATGTATTTAACACTACAGCTACAGCTATAGTTTTCAGCGATACGAATTGACTAAGAGCTTGTGAAAAACTGGAAGATTTTATAAGATTTACCTGATCCGCAAACAAGGCTCTGTAATATTGGTAGTTCATTGGCAATCAATGTGCTATAGTTCTAAACTCAATAGCCCTTTACTGAGAAGAAAAGCCGACTTCTGATGGATGAAAATAAATGAATGAAAATCCCCGAATAACAATCGAAGAGTGCGTTGGCGCTAACTCTTAAGATGGAAAATGCGTTGAATCATGATTACAAAGCAAACAATGGTCGTAATTTTCAATTCACAAAATTCTCATTTATTGACTTTGTCCTTACCGACAAAAGAAGTCTTTCAAGTAAACGGCCAAAATCGGCCAGTGACAAATCTTCTAGTTGTCGATTTTCGTTCTCAGCCGAGAGAAATGTTAACACCAAAGCCACTAAATGCGTAACTTTCGGTTTTTCTTTTAGTATATTGGTTTTCTTTCCCCTCTAGGCGTACTCGATTATTGGACGGATCATGGCTTTATAACCAGTAAAAAGAGCCTTAGAGTGAGATCTAAATGTCCGCTTGTGAAAGCCCAATAGTCAGTTCGATCTTGCAACAACAGACAGTACGTGGGGTTTCCAAAATAACCCATCGGCTGCCATTGAGCTACAAGGTTCCAGTCAAAATTCGGTAGATTAAAATCCCCAAGCAAAAGGACATTAGACCATGGTAGAAACTTTTCTAGCGAATGGACCAGTTTAATTAGGTGGGCCATATCACTGATAGAGGAGCGGTAGTATACTCCAATAAAGTATGTTGAGCAGGGATTGAAATGGAATCCACAGTCCGTTTCGAGGTCACAACGTCTATAACAGCAAATGTTATCCCTTAGAGCTAACAAAACACCACCGCCTTTTCCTAGGCGATCTCTTCCGTAGATATTATAATCAGATGACGGGATTTCTTGATCCATTATATCAGGGTTCAACCATGCATGTTTCGGTTACAGCGATGATGTCTGATTCCTTTGTAGCGACCATAGCTTGCAGCTCAGTTCTCTTGTTAACAATACTACGGGAATTTAGACTGCATGATTTGAGAGTCGAGGAATTGAGAGGCCCAGGGTTCAGTTGAATGTCGTTAGATATTAGAAGGAAAAGAACGAACAGATATTTTCTGGTAGAATAGCGATGGCGAAGCATTGATTTTCCAGATTTATCGAACGTTCGGTGACTTTTCATCGGGAATGTAGCGGCCAAGACGATAAGACCATTTGCGAACGAGGGCCTCTGATAGATATCATTTCTTAGGCTTTTCAGCAACACGTTGGCAAAAAATAGCGTCAGGAGAAACGAAATAAGCGGAGCCACATGGAGAGCGTCCGCCGTAGCCAATTACCATATAGTAGTCCAAATATGAATAAAGGGGGAAAGTTTCTAAGGAAACTGTGGTGCTGCGACAGTGGGAGAGTATAGCAAGTAATTCAGTGTTGACAACTGAGTTGAAAACGTAAATTAGCCTCCGAGAAGAGTTAAAAGGCTGACGTTTCGAGCGTTAGCCTTTCGTCAGAGTGTTGCAGAATTTTCCACTGCGTTAAGGAAAATGTCTGCGGAGCACTGGTTCGACAATCAATACGACTGTATCTTTCCGATTTCTTGTGTTTATTTACGATCCATACAATATCCGAACTTTCTACTTTCAATCGATCTCAAATTCTCTGTTACAAGTGAGTGATCCTATTTATATGCTAATACAAAGGAAGTACACGCCTAAACTACCTAAATCCAAGACTGACATTACTTATTCGTGGTTTACCAAAATCTCAAGCTATTTCCTTTCGACTTTGATTTTAACAGCTGTTTCCCATTACACGCCGATCGACACTTCTGTAATTTACACCCGCGCGCATGCACTATTTGTTGCATGAATTACGCAGGCTACGACAATACTGCAAGCAAACTTCCATAACAATTGACCCGAAGATACCCAAGCATGTCGGAGCCGCATTCCAAAATATGTCTCTGGCTAGTTTTCCTCATTTTTCCTCTTCCTTTGGCTTCCGGTAAGCACAAGAAAACATGGGTAAAATGTTCACAGGATATATCTGGTATTTTGATCTAAGGAATTTTTTTAAGCTTTAATGCTTCAGAGCTTCATGTCGCGTTAACAAGAGAATCATAAAGAACCAGATGATGCCTTCATAATTGTTGTTTCTTGTTATATTACGGATCATTCCTCTCGAGGATAATTTCAACTTGATTTGTTATGCAGTATCACATTTCCCGTGGTGAATATTCGTCTTTTTACTTTCTTTTGGGTTGTTGATACCTATTATGTCTGATGCGAATTCTACCGAGAGATAGACATGTACTTAGTCATCCTTACCGCCTAATTGGTTTTAGAAATATGGATTAGCTATTAAGCCAAAGTAGTACAGCGTAAATTTATGATTTAACTTGCACATCGCACAAACTATTGAGGTCAATAGACATTCATGTTCTCCTCAAGGCCTATCAATGGCATCTATGTGCAAAATTCCGTATTAAGTGTCACTCCCGCTAAGAGCGGTCCTCTCGACTTCCCGTCGAAAAAAAGTTTTCTTTTATTTTTTGCCCATGAAAAGGGTTTAGGACACATGTTTCAAAAATAGTTCAGTTGTGAACCGTTGGCCCATAAGAGTGTAACATCATTAATGACGGAAACAAATTTGCAGAAAGAGGGTTAGTTCATCGGGTTCCGTATACTAAATCTCGGGCGAAACTGCAAGAATTGTTTCAGAGTGTATGCGTGTTGTTTTGTAAATATAAACACTGTAACCTATTTTAACTTGTTTTTGTGTCCTTTTAAGCAACGCGATATGTCTGTTATGACCAGAGTGCCAAATTTTGTTCTTTAATTTTGATCTTCTCCACACTGTGCGTAGTTCATGACCTGATATTTCAACGTAAATTATCGAGAAGGCGCCTTCCGATCACCTTTGTCTACTTTGTAAGTCACGCAAGCGCGCAAGCGTTACGACCGATCACGTTTACGCAACGTTTTAGGACAACTCGGCATCTAATCTCCATTCAGTTGCTGTGAAAACCTAAAGTCCTCAACGTAGAAGATAAACGAACGAAGTTTGAACCATCAAAAGGAGATCTTGGTCAATTCCAAGAATCATGCAAATAATCATTGACACGAGCGCAATCGAGCAAACATATGGATTTGCGTTTTTTTTTGTTTGCGTGTTTACATGTATATCGGTCAAATTAGGAAGTGGCATTTTCCACAAAAATGGTCTTAACCTACAGCTTTATGGCTCCCAGTCATGGAGCTGGATATGTACCTATGTTAATGTTGGTGGTTGTCTGGTTGTCTAAAGGGGTCTACAAATGAGAAACTGATCTGTTTAAGTCCATTTTGGGATAATTTCTTCTCCCATTTACGTAATTAAGTTCATATATGCACTCCCAACAGTTCCTAAGACCCTACAAATTAATATTTTTCAAAAAAACTGTGCAGGACTTTTCACTAACTGAAAGAGAAAACTGAAACTGGAAGAGTAAGGCTGGGTTGAATTTGATCTCTTAAATACCACATGAATTGACTTTTATGTGCAAAAGAATGAAGAATATTGGTAGCGTTGTTATCATTATTATTATCATTATTATTGATATTATAATCAATATTATTATTGCTATTATTCAACTATCATTCTATCTTAATTTCAGTCCCCTCAAAAGCACCCAGTGAATTGATTTTATCTGCAGTCTCTTCTACAAGTATCACTGCATCCTGGCAGTTACCTCCTGCATATTCCAGACATGGACTCATTGCAGGGTTCAAATTGTTCTATAAAAAGAAAGGGTTTATCGGGTCCATACATGTGAAAACTATCAATGATGGAAGGACCTTTTTAGGAGTAATTAATGGTCTGGATAAGTACACAGAATATGAATTTCAAGTGTTGGCGTTCACGTCTCATGGTGATGGACCAAAGAGTTCAGTTGTGGTGGAGAGAACAATGGAAGATGGTACGAAACTTGATTGTTTGTAACAGTTGCAATTCCACTTTTGGTTGGTTTTCAAGAGCCTATCATTTTAAAGTTGGCTTGACACGAATGAAGGTGCAGTAATGTATTTGACTGTGTATATATGTTGAAATCCTAACAAATATATATTAAAAAGTTTAATCCCTAGAATCTGATTAATATATAATAATATTGATAATATTTAATAATATCTGTTAATATCCCAGAATATAGTAAGTTCAATATAGTCTCTCCTACGTATGTTATCGATGTTAACAAGAAGCAAGATCTTCATTACTGGTACGTTTAATTCAGTTGCGTAATGTGAAGTGAAAATCCAATTTTAGTAAAACCACAAAACATAAGTTTGGTAAGATAAAAAAACAATTTATTGGAATAAACTAAGATGAACTAGGGTGATTATGGACGAAGGAAATTGACATGGGTTTCAAATGACATGCTAAGACCGTAAAAGCTTCTTAGGGCATAATGTTTAACTTTTGACTGAATTGTTTTCCCCCAGAGCCTAATAGTGGCCCAGCTAAGGTGTTTTCTGCCTATGTGAACAAGACCACCTTAAACATTTCATGGGCACCTCTACCAAGAGAGCAGAGTAATGGCGGCATCATTCTGTACAACGTCAAAAAAGAATTGTTGTCTCGGGGAACACGACAGAAAAGATCACCTCTAAGCAGCAAAACAGTCAATACAACAGAAAAATTCATTCTATTGAGTGGATTATTGCTTTGTGCGCAATACCAAGTGTCTGTTC